CTTAGCACCAGCTCTCCTTTACACGTTTGGGTAACCCTAACCCCTTGCCTGCTCAATTCTCACACCCATCTCCCCATCTGATTTCCCCCCTCAGTGTTCACTCTCCACTCCCTACTACAGGAAGTGCTCAGGGAACCAGAAGCCAAATGCACAAGTCTGGGAACTAATTTACGTTTTCGTTCATCAAGACCTTCTACAAACACATCCATCCAACCACCAATCTGTCCACTTATTAATCCATCCATCCATCCACCCATCGTCTCTTCATCTTTGTTTTCTGTTTGTTCATCCAGCAACTCATTGACTCTCCAACACATGCACACATAGCATCCTCCGATCCTCCCACCAATAATTGGCATCTTTAACAGATGGTATCCTTGTTTTCCAGGAGAAGCACTTGTTCAGAAACCTGTATGGAGGAAAACCTGTTTGGAGGTTTAGTCATTGTTGAATTGCCCACAGTAAGTAAACTTGCATAATTCTGTCACTTTTAGTGTCTAATCTAATTTCCATATCAGAGAAATATTACCAAATATGTAACAGACTTTAGTATTAAAACTCTCCAAGGGATTTACTGGATGCCAGTGCAAAGTATCAAAGGCATGGCCAACTTACCAGTAGTGCATGTAAATGTGTGAAATAGGTCCAGGAGACCGGTCAACAGCTGGATTTCACCTGATCATTTAAGCTGCTTTTACGTGGCACCTGAGAATGGTCATCGGTGTCTTCTGCATAGTGTTCTTGGTCTACAACATAGACAGATATTTAGCAGGAGCCCTTTCCTGGTGGAAAAAAAACAAGCCAGCTGTACATGAAGTTTTATGTAAGTAATATTGCCTGTGCCATGATAACACACACCATACAGGTAAATCACCTAAAATATATATATTTACATAGAAAAGAGCAGCTTTCCACAGCACAGTATAGTCACTCAAAGAGACATTGAAAGAGTAGATATAAAGGCATATAAATAGCACTTGCACTGCAGGATGTTAAAACCCGGGTGGGAAAGAAAAGAGTTTCTTCTTGGCTTCTTTAACAGGAAGGAGTCTTGTGAATCTTCTTTCATTCAAATGTAATTCCTATGTAAAACTTGCACCAACCACAAAAAAATGTTACTCAGTATATATGTAAAACGAATCGCAATCAGTATATCACTCCTTTTGTGCTATGAAGTTAGGGTTGGGGTTAACCGATTCACTTATTGCCTTTCTTATTAGACAAAGTATTGAGGGCATTGTTACCTCTTTACTTTTATTGTAATCAAATCCCAAGTGTAGAAGAATCACATTTATGGATATTCTAAAGGTGATAGATTATGAGAATGTAACAATTGCTTTTACAAAGTTTCCTATGAATGAACCATCTCCCAGAAGCCTCCCCCCTACAGTGAGCCCAGTTAACTTCTTCTCAGGCTGGAAGCCAAAGTCTGGATTATGGGGTTTTGATTACCCAATTTAGCATATTTCTTTCTTCTTGAAGACCTGACAAGAAGAAGACAGCCCAAGGAAAAGCACTGTATCTAATGCCTGCCCACAGCATCTTGCTACAGGCATTGCAGAATGTTTGAGGTCTGTGGAAGTCAGTAGACATGTGTGATTCGTATTGTTGCGAATTGAAATTGGGATGAATTTCGGCATATTCGGACATTCGGATGCATCCCAATTTCTGAATGAAAGAAAATTCAGATGCATCCAAAACTTTTTCCCAAATGTCATTTAGAATGAACTTGTGTTGTTAAAGTTTAAAAAAAAAAGGGTGGAGTCCCCTCCCCAATTCATACCAGACCTAAAGGAATTATAGGAGGGACCCCAACACCAAAATAATAAAAGGTGGGATCCACCCTAAAATCCCTTACCAGACCCTTGATTTGAGCAGCAGCCTGGCAGAGCAGGAAATTAGGGAAGACCAGCATGCATACTCCTCCTCCTGCACCATACCAGGCCACATGCTCTCAACATGGGGAGGGTTATTTACCAGGGAGGGACCCATGTTGAGGAGGACAAGGGCATCTTCCCCGCAACCCTGATCCAGTGGTTGTGGGGGTCTGCGGGAAGGGGTGGATTTTTTGAAACTGGATGTCCCCTTTCCTAAAAGGGACACCCATATACTGCCTCCCCATGAATGAGTAAGGGGTAATTGTTACTGCAACTGACTCACCAAATACAGTAAAATAAGTAAATAAACACATCACGCCATCAAAAAAATGCCTTTATGTGGAAAAAAAAAACACAAAACAGTTTTTGATAATAGTGTCCATCGATCTAATCCTAACATCAATCACGTCCTCCAGCGATGTAGATCCGCATCAATCATGATAGACGATGACCGCCGACTCGCCGAAAAAAAAAGTCCCTGCTGCTGCACAAAATGACAACTTTGACCCAAACGTCAACAAAGGGGTGGAGCGAGTCGTGAGGTCACGGGACTTGTTACGGCCATTTAATTACATTCCATTAGGGGACCAAAAGCTGTCATGGAATGTAAACAAAAGGGCAGAACAAGTCCCGTGATGCCATTATATTACCGGAAATCATAACACCAAAATACTTTATATGAGACATTAATATAAGTTAAAGAATGAATTAAAGGTGTCAGCAGAGCGTCCAACGGAAGTAACTAGGACCTATCCCAGTTAACCCGCAGCCCTGAATAACTACTGAATTCTGAAATGAAGGACATCACACCTACAAATAATAGAAATAGAAGAATGTCATCCGCATACAGGGCAACATTCTCTTCCAGTAAGGACATCCCTGTCTGGTGCCACATCTCAGCGACAACATAACGAATAATAGTTATTTACATGCACTGAAGCAGTAGGATAAGCATGGAGCAATTTCACCCAACTACAAATAGTTCTCCGAACCCAAATTTACATAGAACCGCCCATAAATATAATGCTTTGACAGCATCGAGAGCCAATAAAGTCCTATTACCAGTAGCTTCTGATGTTACCTGCATATTGAGGAATACTCAGCTAATATTAATCGCTGTAGAAGAATTTGGTATAAAGCCTGTTTGGTCCGGGTGTATTATAGAATAAATCACCGTATGTAACCTGGTGGCTAACACCTTTGCCAATATCTTCACATCTGTATTAAGCAAAAAAAGAGGCCTAGAAGACTCAGGTAACAGGGTCTCTTTATCTTTCTTAGGAATTACTAACATGGAAGCTTGATACATAAACACATCTAAGAGTATTGGAAGTAACACCCGACCACATTGTTTGTATACCTCAATAGGCAGTATATCTGTTCCAAGGACGTTGGTGTTAGAAAAACTTGCTAAGAGATCTTCTTCTTATAGTTGACCCTGGGTGTATATAATACACATACTTGTCCACTACTATTTCGAAGTGCACTGATATGAGAGATAGCGGACTAAGTCAGCCAAAAGTTTACCTGCTGCTTCTCCTTCTGCCCAGGACACACATTTCCAGAAAAGTTGTTTATTTTGCACCCTCTCAGAGAGCATGGACTACGCCTTTCACTGAAGATCAAGCCATTTAGTCAAATGATCTTGAGTAGGACTTTGCACGTAACTCGCTTCTTCCTTAAGACTGCATCATGGGCCTGCTCCAGCTCCTTTCTAGAAGCAGTTTTTATAGTGTTAGAAACTGATTTCTTTCATAAAGATTCCACGAAGATAGGCCTTTAGCGTATCCTAGACCACCCCTCCATGGCTGTTCCTCTATTCACGGCTAAGAAATAAGACATATCTTCTGATATTTTATCTAGGGTCGAGAATAAAGACAACCAAAAAGGATTAAGATGCCAACTAACCACCAAAGGGGAGTGATCAGAAATTCCCTGAGGCTGAATATTCTCAGAACGAATGAAGGAAAGAATCTCTGTCGTACTCAATATCAAATCAATATGGGAGAGACTATTATATGTTTTAGAGCAACGCGTGAATTGCAGTTTTGAGGAGTGAGTTATACGCCACACATCATGAAAACAGAGAAGATGCCAGTGTCAAAACAGAGAAGATGTCAGGGTCCAAACAGAGAAGATGTCAGGGTCCAAACAGAGAAGATGCCAGGGTCAAAACAGAGAAGATATCAGGGTCCAAACAGAGAAGATGCCAGGGTCCAAACAGAGAAGATGCCAGGGTCCAAACAGAGAAGATGTCAGGGTCCAAACAGAGAAGATGCCAGGGTCCAAACAGAGAAGATGCCAGGGTCCAAACAGAGATGATGCCAGGGTCCAAACAGAGAAGATGCCTGGGTCAGGGAGTAAAGATGGGTCAGGGTCAAAACAAGCAAAGAATCAGTGTTGCTATTTGGGGGGAAAAGGCGACACTCACGATTGTGGCAAATGGGAATTGGAGCAGATGATTGCCAGAGGAGACCACAAAGACAAGAGCAACAATACAGCAAAAACTAGTACAGAATGTTGCAAAGATAAGAGAATACACAAACACAGAGGACTGGAATGAATGTAATGAAAATGACAACCATACCCTGACTGCTGGAAGAAAAGACAGATAAGAGTAGGAGAAAACATGTAGAACTATGGACAGGAGATGGGTGAAAGTGGGGACACTAACGGGACATATGCCGCTAGGAGAGGACAGCTATGAGTGTTGTTGACAGAAACGAGCTTTGAGGGTACAAGGGTGTACCCCAAAATGCATTGCTGATAGGGACTTTTGGAAGTAGCTGAAGGTTTGAGCCATGAAAAAAGAGAGAGAGACAGAGAGGAGAGATGAGAGAATCCATCATTGGTAGTGTAATTGCATTTGGGTTTGCTCTGACAAAGGTTGTCTTCTACCATTAGGTGGTAGACCCTAAGGTCCTGGTTTGACATCCATTCCTCTATGGAAGCAAAGGACATTTCCAACTACTTTGACTGTGATAGTAACATTTATTTTACTATGCTTCACAAGATCTTTTGCACTTTTCAGATGAATAAATATGTATGTGTATATATGGTTTTGTATATTTGTTTACGCCTACAAGTAATGATATTTTTATGTTGTTTTATCTGCACTTCTAGGTATTTACCGAAGACAAAAATACACAGAAAAAATATTATTAAATTATGAAAATTGAAGATGGTCACTCATCGTTGCACCCTCGGAATGCCTGGTTTGAAGATTTGTAGGATGATTTTGAAGCAACTTTTACTAATCTCATGGGTCACAAGTTTGGCCCTGGGAGGTACAAATCCAACATCTTGTCCTGCTGTCTGCTCATGCAGCAATCAGGCCAGTAGAGTTGCCTGCACACGGAAAGAACTGGTTGAAGCACCAGACGGCATCTCTGTCAATACGCGATACCTGAACCTTCAGGAAAATATCATTCAGGTCATCAAAACAGACACTTTCAAGCACCTTCGCCATCTGGAAATTCTACAGCTCAGCAAAAACCGAATTGGGAAGATTGAGGTGGGAGCTTTTAATGGACTCCCGAATCTCAGTACACTTGAGCTTTTTGATAATCGTTTGACAACTGTTCCAACACAAGCCTTTGAATATCTATCGAAGCTGAGGGAGTTGTGGTTGAGAAATAATCCAATTGAGAGTATCCCATCCTATGCTTTCAACAGGGTTCCGTCTTTGAGACGGCTTGATTTGGGGGAGCTTAAGATTCTACAATACATTTCTGAAGCTGCTTTTGAAGGTCTTGTAAATTTGAGATATCTGAACCTAGGGATGTGCAATTTAAAAGATATCCCCAACTTAACAGCACTTGTCCGGCTGGAAGAACTAGAGCTGTCTGGAAATCGTCTGGAAATTATTCGACCTGGATCTTTTCAAGGGTTAACAAGTCTTAGAAAGCTGTGGCTGATGCATGCTCATGTTGCAACAATAGAGCGCAATGCATTTGATGATCTGAAATCCTTGGAGGAACTTAACCTTTCTCATAACAATTTAATGTCTCTTCCCCATGACCTTTTTACACCTCTTCACCGCCTGGAGCGAGTACACCTTAACCATAATCCTTGGCACTGCAATTGTGATGTGTTATGGTTGAGTTGGTGGCTAAAAGAGACTGTACCCAACAATACAACCTGTTGTGCTCGATGTCATTCCCCACCAAACCTAAAAACAAGATACATTGGAGAACTAGATCAGAGTCATTTCACATGCTATGCACCTGTCATTGTGGAGCCTCCAACTGACCTCAATGTAACTGAAGGTATGGCAGCTGAACTTAAATGTAGAACTGGCACATCAATGACTTCTGTAAACTGGTTAACACCAAATGGTACCTTGATGACTCATGGCTCTTACAGAGTTCGAATCTCTGTCCTTCATGATGGAACACTGAATTTTACAAATGTGACAGTCCAGGACACTGGTCAGTACACATGTATGGTTACAAACTCAGCAGGAAATACAACAGCATCTGCTACACTTAATGTGTCTGCTGTTGCTGATCCAACTACAACTGATTACACATATTTTACTACTGTGACAGTGGAAACAATGGATTCATCACCAGAGGAGATAAAGCCCTCTGAGAAGGAGCCTGGTCCAACTCCAACAGTTCGATGGGGAAACACATATTCCACCACATCCCTTACCACACGCAGTACACACTCCACAGAGAAGACAATCACTATTCCAATAACGGACGTGACAGGAAACATTATGAAAGATTTAGATGATGTCATGAAGACAACAAAGATCATTATTGGCTGTTTTGTGGCTATCACTTTTATGGCAGCAGTGATGCTTATTGCATTTTACAAACTGCGTAAACAGCACCAGCTACATAAGCATCATGGGCCAACGCGAACTATTGAGATAATTAATGTAGAGGATGAAATACCAGCCACTGTCCCAGGAGACAACCACATGGCACTACCAGCGATTGAGCATGACCACCTTAACCACTATACTGCATTCAAAGCTCATTATAACAACAATACAGGAACCCTTAACTGTGCCAAAAATCCCATGCTTAACTCCATTCACGAACCTCTTTTGTTTAAAAGCAGCTCAAAGGAAAATGTGCAAGAAACACAAATTTAGCTCAATAAATTGAACATTTAATGGGAGTGTCCGACCAGAAATAAACTTTTCCCAGAGAATGAGAATAGACAGTTTCTAACTGTACTTTGAGTCTCTCTGGGTTAGTCTTCACTCAGAATTCATCTTCTTGTCTTCAATTTTCCATACAAACAGACAGAGCCACTCCAACTGAAGCACTGACACACAATGAAGACTCTTTTGATAACTTCAAAGGGATATTTCACTCTCTGACTACCTGATGAATTACTAAAAAAAGGATAAAAAAAAGAAAAAAATATATGAAAAAGGGAAAATAGATACGAAAAGAAAAATGTAAGAAAAAAGCTTATTTTGTGGTACAGCTCTTTATGTGTAAATTCTATTTCAGATATATTTTCATCAAGGAAAGGTGTATGGAACAGGAAAATCAATTCATGGATTAAAGAGACAGATTGTTTTCTTTTTAATCCATAATATCATTGAGGGGTTTCTGTTACCAATTCTGGTTTGTGAAAAAGAAACCTGAGTCGGGTTCCCTTAGAAAATATAAAGTGATTTCCTTTAATACTTACATTGCCAAGGGTGCCTGCAATGACAAAGAGAAGCAATGCTGTACAGGCCCCAGTACTGTCAGGCAGTTAAGTGATAGCTTGGACAATTCTATGTAAGCAAAGGCAAAACTGAACGCTTAAGATTCGGG